CATAAAAAAGTAAGCATGAACCGATTTCTTCTACCATTAGCAAACCTTAACTTTCTTACCATCTTCTCCATTCCTTGGTCAAGAAGAAATTACCATTGGATTTATCTTCTATTTTGAGAGGTTACCATGTTAAAAATGGTTTATGTTTTTATCTTACAACTTATTACTTTTGAAATGTTAAATAGAATATGACCATATATATTTGAAATTTTTAAAATTATTATTCATTGATTTGTTTGATTTTTCAAATATTTTGGAATAAAGATATCAATATCCTCTACAAAATGTTATGAAGGATTTCATATTTAATGAAACGTTGAGTTATTTATTTGCAAAGAAGTTGTCATGTTTTAGTTGAAAATTGATGATCACCATTAATAATTTGAATAATTTTTTCCAATCAAACACAATAAATGTTTTGAATGATCGCCTCTTGAAGAATATGTCATTCATAATGAAGATTACTAACAATCGCTCTACGTGGTACACATGTGGCGTTCAGTGATTTGATAAATGATGCGTTAAAAAACTACAACACTAATGCATCAAATTATTGACCATCACATGTATACCACATAAGACGACTAAGGTAATGAGCTACTACATATATCATTACTCTCTCTTTAATGATTCACTGTGCAAATTATTTGAGAAGAAAATTTTGTCATTTGGTAGTACAATATTGATTACCACACTTAGGCCTTGTTTGAGCCCCATTATTTCCTAATTAAAATGAAAAATATGACCGTTATCCGTCACATCAAACCATCATATTTGACTTTTTATCTCTTGTGTGGACCCAGAACGGTTATATTTTTCATTCTCATTTTTACAATAATGTAGCTCAAACGGGGGCTTAATGTTATAAAGAATTTGTTCCAATCACACACATTAAATGCTCTACGTCTGTTCCGACAGTTCAATAGCTGAATTTGACATTTCAAAATTGTCGGGATGGATATGTTAACTGTCGAATTCAACATTTCAAAACTATCGAGATAGACATTTCGAGACTATCGAGATAGAAGATTCATAGAAGTCCAATAGTCCGTTGTTTCTAGTGGATGAACCCATGTACTCTAAATCTTAGTGGATTGGTGGAAAAATTTTATCTGTTTGCCCTCCACAATGTGACAAAGTTGGATGAGTATTAAGTAGAAATGAAAAATAGCCATACCATGCTATTAATAAGCAAATTATTGGGAGGAAGTAACTTTGGTAATTTAGTACACAACCACCGATGCACAACTTAAGTTACTGCATGAGTAACATATGTTGCGATGTTTTTATCGTCTAGGTGTAAGTTTATCCCTTAAACATGCAGATTTTTATTGAATATGTGGATCTTAAAGCATCTTAGTACTACTTATTCATAAAGTATGCATTTGTAGTTGTTGGTAATGAATGAGTATGAGTCAGCAAGTTGCATTTCAAATTTTGCATGTGCTGTGAATGAATATCTACATTTTGATGTGAGAATTACATGTTAAACAATCTATTTCATTCATTAAAGACAAGGAAAATGTGTGATTGTATTCAATGATCAGTCACATATTTGTGCAAATTCTAAACACGAATTTTTATATTTATTGCGAAAGGAACATGGTTCAACGAATTTTGCTTGTGTTTGTTTGGATAAAGTTATACAAGCCACAAATTATAGCGTGATAATAATGAGTCATGGAAATATTAAATCTAAACAAAATAGTGGTCATACTAATTGAAATTGTCTCGAATCAAGTGTTCATCAACATTACTAAATTTAACTTTAGAGGAACCTTCTTTCTCTCCTATCATAAAATATCCTTAAAAAAAAACTTGAAAACCACCATCTCTCCCACCTCCCTTACCTTGACAAAGTGAAAGTCTGTAGACCTTTTGTGTTGCAACGAAGAGTATTTCCTTGTGGGTTTCGTTTTAACCCTTGTATATGTGCACAATTTCAAGTACTAATTAGCGGGAAATAATTGATCGAGCTAAATTGTGCAAGGTGGCCTTTGATGTTAAATCGTTATGAGATGTACGCGTGCACATGATCATCTTCTGACAGGAAAAATTCAAAATTCATCTATAAAAAATAGAAACATAAAGCAATAACAAAGGTTGGGTGATGACATGTCACATATTTCATTCATATTGCACATACATGAGTTGTTGAACAAATTTTGGCTCTATAATCAATAGTTGAGATGAGTGACTCAATTGCTGAGATCGATAGTTTATATCGGCAGATGGTTCCATAACTATGATATTTCCATTTCATGAAATAATAATAGTGCTCAGATGATGATATGTCATACGTTTCTACCTTAAATCACACGTGGAAGAGAAGCTAAATAAATTTTGACTTATGAAACCAACTATTTAGATAAATGAGTCAACTATCGAGAATTTCAAAGACCAATTGTCGAAAATGACAATTTATGTCAATGGATGGTTTCACAACTATCGGAATTAATATTTACATTTCACATTCATCCTGATTTTCCATGGTAAATATAAATGCAAAGACATTATTGGCAATCCCACGACATCAACAATTGAAGTTCATGAAACAAATTAATAGCCTCAAATGTGTAAATTTGAGAAATGTTCCATTTACATATTCAACATCAAACGTTTAAATCTTTGAGCTATTAAGAAGCTACAAATTTTGGTATACAAACTAATACAAATTCAAGAATAATGAAAGACTAATTACAAACTTTAAGTTCAAATCTCTAGAAGGATGAGTCTCCACTGCAACAAAAATTCAAGAATCTTATAATAACATAGAATGACCGAGAAAAAATAAACCCACTTCACACTCACGAAAAAATCAACCATTTGAAAAAATAAATCCACTTCACATTCATTAAGATAGTAGTTTTACATTAACATAAATGTATTTTACATTACATTAAACCCATTTCACACTCATGAAATCCCAAAAAAAAAATAATAATAATAATAAAATAAAATAAAATTCACATAGGGAGCAAAAAAGGACCGACGGAGTTTTAAAATAGTTGGCAACTTTACTTCCTTTTTTAAAAACATTCTTCTATTAGTGTTGAACACAAATAGATTATCAAAAAAATTTCAAAACCAATTTCAGACACAAAATTTCTAAATTTTCTCAGACACCCAAAGAAAATGAGAAAAGGACAAATAAAAGATTTTTTTTATCTATCCAAATATATCTGAATATCCTGAAATTTGAAAAGGAATTCTTAAATATTGAATTTATTCATTCATTTCCTATATCTCACATTATTCCATTAACAAAATATTTCAAAAAAAATGCTGAAAGAACAAAAAAAACATTTTTTTCGACCAAAAAAAAATCGTAGATAGTGGAATCATAGAGAGAACCGAAACCTAGGAAAAGAAAATCTTTATTGTTTGGAAAAAAAGATCTCCAAAAAATGTTGAAAGTAAAATTTCTCTCACAAATTCTCCTGGAGGGCACAAGAGAGTTCTTTCAATTTTTTTGAATTCGTTTGAATATTGTTTTTGAGCTAGGTTTAAAAAGAGTGGAGGATGGGGTGTGGTTTAGGTGGGTTTGATGAGATGTTTGTTTATTATTTTGTACAATTATTTTCATTTAATCACGTCAACACTAATTACAAACATATACGGATTTTAATTGTCCACGACGAAAAAAAAGTCTAAAAGTGATATTTTTTAAAATGCAAAAACAAAAATTGACATGGGGTGCCATTTCTTCTTACTTTAATCATCTAACCTAGGATTTTTGCTTTGTGTCAACATGCTCTTTTTCATAACAAGCATACCTATTTATAAATTTATATCCAAGCATTGGGGTAGATGGGTCGTTTTTGGTTGGTGACATGTAACAACATTTGATTGAATGAGTTATAGCTAATTCTATTATCTGTTTATGTTTTATTCACCAATTTAATTATTTCACTTTTGCTCAAGTATATTGGCTCATATCATGTATTTAAGATCTCTTACAATGTTTCTTCCTTGTGCGTGCTTTTAGCTCATTTTGGGTTCACGTGTATTTTGCTCTTTTCAGAGTGCTCGCTCAAATGAATATTTCATATATAACAAGTTGCTATCAATTTTATAGCATCTACTCCAAATTTCACATAAACAAATCAACTTGAAACTATCTATTAATTTTTGATAAACTAAACAATTTTTTATAGTCTTGGTAACAATGTAATTTACAGCTAAAAATGTCTTATTTGATGGAATAATTTTAAAGAATTCTAAAGAAACTCAAAACAAGAAGTCATTCTCCTACTAATAAACACACAAAAGAAAGAAAAAGAATCCGATGTGATCCTTTATAAACTTTATTTTTTTCAATTCAAACTTTGACATACTCAAAAAAGCATAGGAGAGAGAGAGAATCCAGTGTCCGGTAAAGATAAATGCTAAGCTTCCCCTTTCTATTTATATAAGCAAAGGGAAATTAATTATACTTCTTTGTCATTTGAAAGTTAAAATTAATTATTCTTCTATAGTTTTTGAATTATATTGTCAAATCAATATTTGAAGCATTCTCTAATGAATAAGTCAGGCTTAATTTTACTTGTGTTTATTTTTAAATTGTCCAGATCGGCCTGTCAACCCACTTTTCCTGAAACAAGTTCGAAGAAATTAATTATACTTCCTTATCTTTTGAAGAAATTATAGGTTGATATATGAACTCATTTCCACTGAAATAAGTAACAATTAATTTTATATATATATATATATAGACACACACACACACACAACTGGCCAATTATTGTACAAGTTCAATTGATTTATACTTTGGCTATCCTTCTTGTCATTCAATGCATATACTTCTTAGTTTGCATTAGAAAAATAATTTCATTTATCATCATTATCCCACCAAACAACCATATCCGCCGCCCCCATCTTCTTCCATTCCAATCACCGGATCCACCACTCTCTGACATGGACACGCTGGAATTCTCATCTGGCAGATCACCTAGGAGGGAGCTCCAAGGACCTCGTCCAGCACCTCTAAAAGTACGTAAAGATTCCCACAAGATCAGAAAACCGCCAGTTGCACCGCCACCGCAGCAGCTGCAGCCTCGACCACCAGTCATAATCTACACCGTCTCTCCCAAGATAATCCATGCAAATCCTAATGAATTTAGGTCACTGGTTCAACGTCTAACCGGCCGGAATCCAACCTCGACCTCTTCTAGTTCCTCCTCAGTTTTTCAAGAAAAGGATTCAGTATCTCCAGCTGCACGTTTTGCTTCTATAGAAAAAACTAAATCACCAGAAGGAAGAAGATTACCACAAGCTTTTAATGACATGGAAATGGTTCAAGGGATAAATATTAGCACAGAAATTGACAGCAATTTCAGGCAACTTCAGGGTATTTTATCTCCTAATCCAGCTTCTCTTCCATCTATTCCACAAAAATATTTCTCCCCTTCATCTGATCAGAATCCACTTAACTTTTTCTATGATTTAAGCCCAGTTTTACACAGTAACAAAAATTATTTAGAGAGCAGTTTAATTCCCAGTCCTCCAACTTTTGTTTCACCCTACATGCCTTCTCCAAATACACTAGATATTTTCCACAGTTTATTTGACCTTTAACGCTATACAAAAATGCAGGGATTAGTTGTAAACTACACGGTTGTGTTTGTTTTCTGAATTCTTCCTCTTGATGATAAAGAAGGTACACACGGGATCTGTATATCATGTTCGAACCTGCTTCAAAGTCATTTTCTTTCTAAGAAGTACTTTAAAATGTGACTTAGTGATTTCAAAAATCTCCTTTGCAATTCGATCTGATGCTTGATGCATTAGTTTGGCGCAAATTATCCCCTTCTTTTTGTCTCATGTTATACTCATCATAGTTAGTAACCTATTTTTTTGTCATGTAGCCTCTGGATTGTAATTTGTAACACAACAATATTGATTTGTTTGCTCTATTCTTGTATTTGTTCTTTGTGCATATATAATTTCCTGGTCAAACTGCCATTTATTATGTTTGAATTCTAAAACTATCAAGCAAAAAATTATGTTTCATCCCTTTTCAGGTGGCCTTGCCGATCACAATATGGTACTTTAAATTAGACGGAATACGGAAGAAGAAGAATATGTTCTATCATCTTATACAATATTGTTCGCTACTAAATGACAAATATAATTATGAAGTCTCCTATTTTTAAATGTAGTAAATTTTGCTTCGCCAGCGAATTCATTTTTGTCGTCTTTGACCGGTGACACAGAAAGCTTACAGCCCTCGATGTCGTCGGGCTTTCAGATCACCAACCTTTCACAGGTGTCGTCCGCCGGCCGGCCGCCTCTCTCTACGTCGTCGTTTAAGCGCAAGTGCAGCTCGATGGATGACGTAAATATTAAGTGTGGTGGTGGGTCGTCCGGCAGTCGTTGCCATTGTCCCAAGAAAAGGTAAAAGTCAACTCTAAGAATTGAAAGAAAAATCCAAATAATAATTGTGGTCGTAATTCTTTTATTTTTTATCAATTATAATTGAGATTTTTTAATTTTTTTTTCAATTGCAATAAAGATTTTAGCGTTTGATTTATGATTATATTTGCTTTAATTAGGAAATCAAGGGTGAAGAGAGTGGTTAGAATCCCCGCGATAAGCATGAAGACGTCGGATATTCCATCGGACGACTACTCATGGAGAAAGTACGGGCAGAAGCCCATCAAGGGTTCCCCTCATCCTAGGTGAGTTCGTTATTCATTTATTTGGTACCTTAAATTGAACGTCTCGTTTAATCTAGTAAAGTCTCCTCGACAATGGAATAACAAACATTTTAGTACGTATTTGTCACACCGAAATAAAGAGAATTATCACTAAATAATTTATCATTGCATATCTTTTTAAGTTTTGTTTGCATAATTTACACAAGTACCCTTAGAGTCATGTGTAATCTATCTAGTGCCGAATATGGAACGCCGAACATGTCGATTACATATTGTTTGTAATCTTGTACACTCGAGCTAGTACTATATATTGACCATGTCAAGACTCAAAATATGACTAGTTCGACAAAAATTTGATTATCTACTTATAATTGGTAAAAAAATTTCAGGGGATATTACAAGTGTAGCAGCGTTAGAGGATGCCCGGCTCGTAAACATGTGGAAAGGGCATTGGATGATCCGACGATGCTAATTGTTACTTACGAAGGAGAGCATAATCATGTACAGTTGAGTGCACAAACACCGGCAGCTATCATCATGGAATCATCTTGATCGAAGAACGACATATTGTTCGACGGTAGAGATGTTGCAAAGAAAATGAACAGAAGATGGCAAACGTTGGATGCTCTCTCCTTTAGCAACTCCCTAGACAAAATGTGTTTTATCATTGTCCCTATTTGGCAGTTGAAAAAACTTTGATTCTGTGTAGAAAAAAGAGAGAGAGAGTAAATTCCGGATTTGGTGGGAATTGAATCATGCAACTAGTGGGGTTTTTTCAACTCTCTCTCTCTCTCTCTCTAATATATTGCAATTGAGGTTCCAAACTTTAGCATTTACCCAACCTTTTGCTTTTGTAGCATTTTGGTCTATAGCATTAAAATGTGAAAATTTTAAAGGATTATGTTACATGTATATTAGAGTTTTATAACGGTGTTCAGCCTCTTACGTGAAGGGAGATTCACTTCGAATAAAATATAGTTTATTTGGAGTGGGTTTTCCATGTGAAGAGGGTGGATACCACATTATGTACGAGTAGCATATTTCAATTTTAAAATATTAAGTATTGAAGAAAAAATTTGTTCTTCTTGCACCTTATTGCCATCCCAACTAATCCAAAATTGACATCTAAGACTAGAAAGAAGGTGAAAGACATGGGGTTGGTAGGAAGGGACATCTTACTAGTAAAAGTGGACTATATTCAAAAGAAGATCGAGGGCGAGGAGACCAAATAGATTTGCGACTTGTTGCTCCAATTATGTGTTTTTGTCACATTGACACGTCAAGTTTTTTTGGTAAACGGGAGACGTTAATAATTGTTTTGACAATTCGACGCATAAACATTAATGTTTTTCTTATTTGCTAAAAAGATATGATGTGTTGAGGTGTCAAAAATATATTGGAATATAGTAAATCTCAACTTAGGATGAGAGTGAGAAGATGGTAGGTAAGAGGTTGTAGAAGTAGTGAAATGGCTTATTGATGGGATAGGGAAGGGACGGAGACATAATTTTCTTTTTCTTCGTCTTTCCCTTATTTAAGTTTCTTCCCGTTGAATTAAGTTCAATGAATTTTAACCTTAATAAAATCAGATACGTAAGAGCCACGTATCTTTGTATTCGAAATCACAATGCTACAACCTTAAATAAAGATTAAGGACCTAACTCCAGTATAACACGTAGTTTGAGTATCCCCTCTTGCAATATTTCTTATATAATCCAATTTCCACTAGGCAATTTTTTAAACAAGGATTTTCCATTAAAACGCTTTAATTTAATCAAAATCCAATCATATAACTCACTTGGTGCATGAAGATTGATTAAATTAATGAATTAGATTTGTGTTAAGTGGAGATCATTGACATATAAACATGTATCACAAAAATTGTTAGTCAATAAGAAATAATTAAGAAATTGGCCAAATTATAGTTTAATGAGGACATGTCGCGTATGGTACGATTGACAATTTATTTAAAATTATTTAGGCAGAAGATGAATGACTAATGGTAGGTGGAGGGAGAATTAGGATTTTTATTGAGTGGAAATTAATTATTGAATATTTGAGCTTTATTTGGACCTTTTAAAGTTGAATTTATTATTAAATAATGTTAGGTTTATTTATTGATTCACTCGTGCACTATACCTACCATCACACAATTATTAATTTATTATATACACATACTTGAACCTTAAATTAGATAGAATTGAATATTATTATTATTGATAACTTTTACTATATACTTCCTTTTTATATTATATATGTGTGTGTGCGCAATACTTAAATGATGGGTTCAATTATACACACAATATCTAGAGTAGCAGTCGTTAGTGTCTACTATTTATCAACGATAAAATGAAAAAAATCGTATGCGTCAATCCCATGTTCATCTTAGGGTTCTTAGTTCAATTCTTCTTATGTTTTGGATATATTGTACCAACTCGAGACATAAACAAAGACAATGATAATCAGACTCAATAAAAGACTCGAAGTTCAAATAAGGAAGGGTAAACCATTGCACAAATTATTTTATTCAAACATTTTAGTTTCACTATTTATTATTCAGTTGAAACCTAAAACAATTGAACCATCTCCATCTAAGTTCTAAGATTTAAAAAACTTGTTAAAATTTAATCAGAACTAAAATAAATTGCTCAATCCGATCCCACTCGAATAGTTTCAAAAAAAATTATCACAACCACTTGAAACCCTATTTAATAAGTAAAACACACTAATTATCCCTTATCAAGTTGGTAGAATTTGAACAAGACAAATCGAGCATCTCATTACATTTCAAGAATCTTATTCTATATTCGTTTCAATAATCGATCCTTTGTTAAATTCATCTATTTTAAAAACGTCACTAACTACATATATTAATTTCTAAATTATGAGTGGATAGTCGAGATTGAGATCATGTGGAGATATGCCACTAACATAAATTCCAATAGATGTTGGTTTGGACGATTTATAAAATGTATAGTTGACTAGCCAGCATACATCACACAGGTGGATGCAAAGTCACGAGAAATGGTGGGAATAGGATTTGATATTACTCTTTATGACTCAGCATCCCTTTGTCAAGTTGTATATTTCTAAATATTTTATGTGAACTCACCTAGTAATTGTAGTCATCAAATTCATGACATATTAGATCAGATCCAAAAGAGTCAAATATCACGGTTTAAAAAATTTGACCCAATAAATTACTGAACCAAAGAACCAAGACAATCACAAACATTATCTTGACCCCGCGATCACAAAATTTATGAACCTCACTTTGTTGAATGTCACAAGAATTTATTTTTTGATAGTTTGATGAATAACGAGTTAAAAATAATATGCTTTGCAATAATATCTGTCAAATTATGTATTTTTACAATGAAAAGAATTAGTCGTATTTGTAGGAAACCCATAAAAACCTCATTAAAAACGGAATTAGGTCTAAAAGATATCAAAAAGATGCCATGAAAAGAGTTTTAATTAAAATAGAAGTCTAGGCAAAAATGCGCCCAGGTTTTCACTATGCGGCCACGTAGGCGTTTGGCTTGCAATCGCATAAATCATTCAATAATTCTCATCTTGGCTTGGGTATGGAGACAAGCGGGCGCATGTCTAGTTATACTATGTGCTTCAATTTAGCTCCTTCTTCCATTGTTTAAATCAAGTTGTTTCATCTTGATTCTTCTTTCATGCCTAATAAGAAATTTCTCATTTTACTTGTTGTGGTCGATAGTTTATCCATCGCAACTTGAACAAGTAATCACATGGCTTTCTTGACCTTCTTTGCTAGTGACCTAGTCAGTGGTCATTTCTCCACAATCAAAGGGTCCTTGTCCTTACTAACTCTCATACCATGGTTTTCATCATTTCTTTCTTCTTCAACAGGATTCGTCCTCGAATCTCTACCTACATCAAACATGGAAAGATCATAAATATTGAAAGTAATTGAAATGTTATAATCATCTGGAAGATCCAATTTATAGGCATTGTTATTGATTTTTTCAAGCACTTAGAATGGTCCATCTCCTCTCGGTTACAATTTTGACTTCCTTTGAGTTGAAAAGCATTCCATTCTTATATGCATTCAAACATAATCTCATGGTTCAAATATAATGCGCTTTCATCCTTTATTTGCTTGAGAAGTATAATACTCATATTTCTTCTCAATTTGACACCACACCTTCTCATGGAAGGATATTACCAACTCAGCATTCTTCTTTCCATTTAAGCAACCTCTCTCATCAACAGGTAAATGAATTAAATCCAAAGATGCTAATGGATTAAAACCATAAATAATTTCAAGTGGAGTATAAGTAATAGAATGCATGGCCTTATTATATACAAATTCTATGAATGGCAAGCAATCCACCCAACTTTTCAAGTTCTTATTGACTATCATGCGCAATAGTTGTATCATAGTCCTATTAACAACCTCAATTTGCTCATTAGTTTATGGGTGACAAGTTGTAGTGAATAATAGCTTAGTCCATAACTTTACAAAATCTTCAAAAAAAAACGACTAAGGAGCTTAACATCTTTATCTGATACAATACTTCTAAGTACCCCATATAAGCACACTACTTCTTTAAAGAATAAATTCGCAATATTAGTAGCATTATCAATTTCATGACATTGAATGAAATGTGACATCTTGCTAAATTTATCTACCACCACAAATATGATATCTTTTCATTTTTTAGTCATAGTTAAACCCAACACAAAGTCCATAGACACATCAACCCAAGGTTTACTAGGAACATGGTCATTACATATACAAACCTTGAGGTAAAACTTTAGACTTAACATTTTAACTAGTGATGCATCTACTACAAACCCGATCAACATCAGCTTTTAACTTAGGCCAATAGAAGTGTTCATTTAACATCTCCAATGTTTTCTTAGTTCCAAACATCGACTATGTGCTTCATCTACTAACAATTCTCTCATTGAACATCTAGGTACACTTAACTTACTCCCGAAATAAATATCCATCATATTTAAAGAATCTATATATAACAACTTTGTCACATGATTTATATATATTACAAAATTCCGGGTCATTAGTATATATGTCCTTAATATATGTAAGATAGTTGAAAGCTGCTTCATTTAGCTTTTCAGTAAAGTAAGTTATTAACCTTCATTCTTGTGTCAAAACAGCTCCAATACTTATTCTTGAAACATCACATTAGGTAGTGATAAAATCGGTGTAGTACACAACCAATCCTTAATAGTGTTAAAAGCACGTTCTTTTTCGATACCCCCAAAAAATCTTACACTTTTCTTTACAATTTTCTTAAGTGGTATGGTAATTGTGCTAAAGTCACTTACAAAAAAAGCCTATAGGAGCTAGCCAAACCATGGAAACTTCTTATCTCGGTCATATTTTCAGTGTTGGCCAAGAAAAATAACATTTTTCATGCAAAATGTACACTTTTTAAAGTCAGTATAAAGTTATTCTTTTCTTAAGATGACAAGCACACATTTTAATCGTCCTATATGCTTATTTAAATCCTCATTATATATCAAGATATCATTGAAGTAAACCACTACGAATTTACTTATAAATGCACAAAAAACATGATTCATTAATTTCATAAAAGTGCTAGGTGCATTAGTAAGTCCAAATGTCATGACTAACCACTCATATTAACCATACTTCACTTTAAAAGCAATTTTTTCACTCATATCCTTCTCTCATCTTAATTTGATGATATTCACTTTTAAGATCTATTTTATTAAACATTCATGATCCATGCAATTTATCTAAAATATCATCTAACTTAGGTATAGGTTGACGATATTTTATCGTTATGTTGTTGATTGCATGACATCCTTCAGGTTCCATCTTTCTTCGGCACATGTAGCATTGGCATTGCATATGAGCTTATACTTTCCCTTACATATCC